GTAGTGGTTATCTGCATCTTCTAGCCTAAGTTCTAATTACTGAAGTATTAGAACTCTTCTTGGGTTAAGTTCGAGTTTGGAGTTGGTTTCAATCAAATTATTTTGGGCTGTCTGGTGGCTTTATACTTCTGTGATCTATCCCTGGTTTTTTGAATTATATCCTGGGTTTGAAATCGATTTTGCGGCTGTTGTTGAATTCTAGTTGCTGCTGATTATTGTCTGCATTGCTGATCCCTCCTCCTTTCATTTGTTCATTTCCAGGTATACTCTAAAACCTCAAGTGATGACTGAATTCATATGTATGACTACTGTTGAAGAGGAACATTGGAGGACTCTTTTGTTTCCTTTGTTTTACGTGTTCTGATTTGTATACTTAGGCATTTAGTTCAATATTGTTATTAGACTATCGTCTATATTTTGTATTAATTAAGGACTGATTGGATTGTTTTGGACTGGACTGCTGCATTTTTTCTGAGAACTATACGAATGTCCTGATAATATTAGCCTTGAGTATCCTGTTAGGTTGAACTTAAGACTAGAGTAAGTCATTGGTTACAAATTAAATCTGGAGATAGCATGAGCATTTTATTAATGAAGAATTGACATCTCTTGTAGTTTAGAATAATTGATCATGTTTGTTCACCATGTGTTTGTTGAAAAGTAGGTTTCAGAGTAATATATTCACAATTCAAAACAGTTTGGCACTCCAGATTCATGTCGCATTACATGTTTAAGTTTGGACGTTCATTATTAAATGGTTGATTGGATCTCTGAAAACCCATGTTAATTACCAGTGTACCAACGAGTTGAATGAACTGAGTTAATTAGGTGTTTGAGATTTAGAGTTGATGTGAATAAATTATGCATCTATTTACAAGCTTGCTGGCAGGCCCAAATTTAAGGTTAATATTCGATTTCTGGGCCTGTTATGAGCCAAGGAAGCCTTGCTTCTTGTAAATGAAATCTGGGCTTGTGATCGAAGCCCACAACTGGGCATTGTCTTATATAACAAACTGACCGAAGATCCTTGGGCCAAATTCAAGGCCCCGTTTGCTAAAAGTTTAATTTTCCTTTTCAAATTGCAATTTAGTTTAATAATACATTTCTAGGCTTTCCAAGCTAGGTAGCGAATTTAAATTAAGAGGTTGTCCTCTTGTTTAAACTCGGACTTGAGCTTGAGGCCTGAATTTCATAATGCCAATTAATTAGGACTCTTTAGAGACAAATTCAATAGACAATTATAGTTTGCTCTAGGATGGCCTTTAAATAAGAAAATGAGATGAGCCTCGCCAAACAAAATGCATAAATTGCGGGGCCCTCTTTAAATGCTTATATTAAAATACTTAGAATTTGGGGCGTGCCGTTTAGCGAATTTCACGGCCTCCCGCAAAGATAATAACCCGTTAGTCGCTTTAGGCGCGCTTTTAATAATTTTACCTTCTTAAATACGGGTGTGCATTTCATGCAACCCAAATCCAAATCCCAAAACGTTGAATAAGAATGTGTCGAGGGTCCGGGTGCATTTCATGTGACGCGATCCAAAAACACGTTTTTAAACGACGTTCACTTTCTTAAAAAATGACTAAAAGCGGAAAAATAATCCTAAAATTGCACTGTAGGTTGGAACATGTATAAAATTAGATTTTAGCCATTTATAATAATTTAAGCGACCATGCTAGAACCACGGGATCCGGGGGTGCCTAACACCTTCCCTCGGGTCAACAGAATTCCTTATTCAGAATTTCTGGTTCGCAGGCTCCAATTGGGAAGTCAAAAATTTTCTTCGATTTGGGATCTAAGTTAAACCGGTGACTTGGGACACCAAAAGCCAATCCTATCCCAAGTGGCGACTCTAAAAATCGAATAAATAATCCTATTTCGAATAATGTCACTTTAAATGGAAAAACTCCCTTATACATTATCCTTCGGGGTAGGTGTGTAAAAAGGAGGTGTGACATACGGTAAAAAATGGGATCCCCTAAAATTAGGTGCCTATAGCTTGGGCTTTAGAGGCTTTACCCAAAAGCCGGCCCTGGATATTGGTCAAATATCGGTGAGATTGATCAAGTAATTATGTTTCATCCTAACTTTCATGAAGGGGAATCTTGGAACAGCGATAAAGTTGTTCCAAGTGATCTACAAATTAGGAATTCGAGCTATGAAATCAGTCACTAATTTTTGCGGCATGATAGGTGCCTATATCACTCATCGTGACCCTTTCCAGCGCGAGATGCTGACCGAAGGTACAGGAAAGAGAGATAGCTGATTAAGAAAAGATTGTTATTTATCTGTAAGATTTGAGAATGGCACCACAGAAACTACAGACAATAGCCTTCCAAGACTTGAAGTAAAAGGGGATGTAACAAAATCTGGTGGCAGTGCGCATATCAACAACTTTAGCACCATGGCCGCACCTCGAACACGAGCCAGCCACCGGTTTACTCCGCCTCATCATCCTCTTCTGGTCTACTAGAAAGCAAAAACATACCATTATTTACGTCGTGGTCGGCTAGTTAAAGGTCAGCTTCAATTCTCCCCCGACAATCAAGCTGCACTTCCTTCTGACAAGTGGCTGAGAGTTAGCAAGCAACCTTGGCCTAGTTAAAGGCCAGCTTCGATTCTAGGTAAAGATCCGTCAGTAACAGTTTCTATTCTAGTTCCCGTTCAACATTCTATCAAAGTATTCTCCCCTGGCCGTACTTCAACCAGCTGCTTTTTGGCTATATACAAAATATCAAATGGAAGAGAAAAATATTCAGAAAGCTTTTTGTTGGTTTTGCTTGGCCAAATATCAAAGGAGTTTGTTGGAGTCACCTTGGATATTCCAAAAAAAAAAGGGTCTCTTAGGCTACATATAGAGTTAAATTTTAGAGTAATAACCTCTTTTTTTATACTATCAAGTTCAGAAAACTTATAATAACTGATAATTGAATATAAGTAAATTTTGATTTGACGACCTAAAAAATTATAGAAAATAAAATTCGAACTTGTAATTTTAAACATACTGCTATAAGCAATAAATGCATGTCATTTAAGGTAAATTAAAAAATTTAAAGTTTAATTATTCCAAATTATAAAAAGGAATTCATTTTTTAAATTAAAGTAGCTAGTGCCACATAAAATAAAATGAGTTTCACATATAGATATCTCTCTTCGTGTTCTTGAGCCGAGGGTCTATCGAAAACAGCCTCTCTATCCCTCGGGGTAGGGATAAAGTCTGCGTAGACACTATCCTTCCCAAACTCCACTAGTGAGATTACACTAGGTCGTTGTTATTATCGTTGTCATATATAAATATGATTCTTTTACCTTTAATTATTAATCTCAATTGTGAGTCTTGAGTATGAAAAAATTTCTAATAGGAAGTATTTTTTCATTTAGTTGGCCATACACGGTGCGCATCTGGATTAAGTAGCACCCTTAAGCGAGTATCAGATATCGAGTAGAAAAAAAAAAGAATGAAAATTTGAACTTGACAGCTTCCAACTCAGCGTTGATTGCCACGTAAAGGGAATTCTAGAAATTGATTAGACTTTTGAAGAATGAACTAAAAGGTGCTGATTATGCCATATGTCCATTTTACAGCTGGGAGACGTGTGTTATTTTGATGTTTAATTAATGAAGTGCTTGCTGTGCCATTCAAGTGTTTTTTCTTATGTTCCATTTTTCATTATCATGGGAGGGGAGCTTAGGAGCAACAGTAAAGTTGTTTTCGTATGACTTATATGTTATGCGTTCGAGTCATAGAAGTAGCCACTAATACTTTTATTTTGATAGGCTGTCTACATCACACTCCTTAGTCGTGACCCTTCCCCGAACCCTGAGTAATACAAGATACTTCATGCATCGGGTTACCCTTTTTCGCTTCAAGCGTTTTTTCTTATGTTCCATTTTTCATTATCGTTGAATTAGGGGAGCTTTGGAGCAATAGTAAAGTTGTTTCCGTATGACTTATATGTTATGCGTTCGAGTCATAGAAGTAGCCACTAATGTTTGCATTTAGGTAGGCTGTCTATATCACACCCCTTAGTTGTGTGCCCTTCCTCGGACCCTACGTAAATGCATGATACTTCATGCATCGGGCTGCCCTTTCTTGCTTCAAGCGCTTTTTCTTATGTTCCATGTTTCATTATCGTTGAAGGGGAGCTTTGGAGCGACAGTAAAGTTGTTTCCGTATGACTTATATATGTTATGCGTTCGAGTCATAGAAGTAGCCACTAATACTTTCATTTAGATAGGCTATCTACATCACACCCCTTAGTTGTGGCCCTTCCCCGGACCCTGAGTAATACAAGATACTTCATGCATTGGGCCCTTTCCTGCTTCAAGCGTTTTTTCTTATGTTCCATTTTTCATTATCGTTGATGGGGAGTTTTGGAGCAACAGTAAAGTCGTTTCCGTATGACTTATATGTTATACGTTCGAGTTATAGAAGTAGCCACTAATACTTGCATTTAAATAGACTGTCTACATCACATCCCTTAATTGCGGCCCTGACCCTGCCTAAATGCAAGATACTTCATGCATCGGATTGCCCTTTCATGCTTCAAGTGTTTTTTCTTATGTTCCATTTTACATTATCGTTGTAAAAATTATATTTCATTTTTTATTTATTATTCTGAGTGTAGAATCCATAAATTTCTCTGTCAGTTAAAAATATAGAAAGGTACTTAGGTTCTCTCTGTAACCAGGCATGCAAGGGAATCACTACGAAAAAGTTTTGGAAGTTACAAAAGGAAGGAAACTTTTATTACTTTTTATTTTTCTTTTTATTTTGCATAATATTGGTCTGAAAAAAATTAATTGATTAAAATATTCAATAAGCATTCGTATAGCATACTCCAACTTATTTGAGGTAGAAGTGTAGTTGTGTTGTAGAATCTATAAATTTCTCTGTCATATTAAAACAATCACAAAGGGTGTGTTTGGTACGAAGAAAATATTTTTTGGAAAATATTTTTTAATTTTTCCATGTTCGGTTGGCTTAAATATTTTGAAAAATATTTTCTTACTGAACTCATTTTACTTCAATTGGAGGAAAATATTTTCCCTATCAAGAGAAGGAAAAATATTTTTCAAAGCTCCTTCTCAACCTTTCCCACCTTATTCCCCATCCCCACCAACCCACCCCCACACCCACCCACGCAACCCCCTCCTACTCACTCCACCCTCACCCCCACCTCACCCTAAATAAAAATATTATTAATAGTACTTTTTTTTCATATTATAGATAGATTTTTCTTTGCATTACGACAAATGAGTATTTTTTTACATGATATAAAAAAAGTATTTTTTTTTTCCATTTCAACAAAAAAGGCACTTTCTTTTCATAGAAAAAGTATTTTCTTTCATTTCAATATTTTTTTTATTTAAAAAAAATGAGTATTTTCTTTTCATGATGTAGAAAAAGTATTTTCTTTTATTTCAATAAAATGAATAATTTATTTTCGTATAGTAGAAAGAGTACTTTCTTTGTAATTATGGAACATAAATTTTAACGTTATTTTTGCGTAAAAAAGTAAAGCACTACATTCTTTGGATTTATGTGATTTTTTAGAAGAATAATAAAATTCTGGAAGAAAATAGAGTTCTGAAAATATTGGGGATTTGGGGGGGGGGGGGGGGGTACGAGCGAGGAAACATGGGGACTTGGGAGAAGGGGGTAAGAAGAGTAGCATAAAAAAAAAAATTCGGAAAAAGTTTTTCACTCACCAACCAAACAAGAAAAAATAAGTGATAAAATCACTTATTTTCCATAAAAATATTTTCCACGAAAAATATTTTTTTTCGTACCAAACACCCCTAAAGTTTTCAAGATTTCTACGAGAGAAAAGAGAAGAGAATATCTATAATAGTGCAGCAAATAAGAACCCACCTACAAGATAAGATTGGCAGTTAGTCGCTAACCTATTTAATGAACATGCCAAACATGTCCCTTGTCAATATGCCAAACTTTTGAAATCAAATTAACTTTAGTTTCTTTTAACTTTTTACATTTTTGTTAAATTTATTGATAATTGATAAATTTAGCAAATTGTAGAATTGTGAATAATAAAATAAACATTTTAAAATAATTTTTAAGAAGCAAGAAATATTTATGCTATATTAAAAGGAGGTAGTGGACAATGGTATTAAGCCAATTGATGCGCTAATAAAATATTATAGTAATAATATAACAATATTTAAAGAATAAATACTGTAATAAAAAATAAAAAATAAAAAATAAAAAGTTACATGATGACCATATGATTCGTTTTTTTTTAAATTTAATATAGATTTAATTAATAAAATATCGTATTGAGAAGTAAGATGTCACTTGAAATTCCATAACACAACAATATGATATTACTAAGAGGATAAAATACAATTTAAAATGCCTAATATTCCTTAATATTTATCACGCATTGCGCCGGTTCTTATACTAATTTAAAGAACATGCCTAACATGTCCCTAGATATGTCAATCTTCCCAAATTAAATTAACTTTACTTTTCTTTAATTTTTTATATCCTCTGTGGAAAGGGGCATGAGTAACCATAAAAAAGGAGAAAGAAGAAGAGAGAAACCTTGCACCATTTTTTATACGGAAAAGGATTAAAAATGCCCCTAAATTATTAGAAAAAGTATAAATACCCTTCATCCATCTATTGGGTATACCCCTCCATCCATTTTTTTGGTTCACTTATGCCCTTTGACCGTTAGGTCAGTGCTGAATTAAAAATAATTATTATTTAAATTCCACGCGGCAACTTCTTATTGGTCGAAATTAAAACATCTAACCTATTAGAAAGACCTACTCATATCTACCCGTTTTTCGGATCAGCCCGCCGCAAACATTGGCCGACCCGAATAAAAAGTTCAACTAAAAGAAAGACGCCCCACTTCTATCTAACTCCGTGGTGTCCGGGCATCAAGTACTCTTTTTTTTTTTTTGTATAATCGTTGTGTCCGGATTAGCTTACACGCACGTCGACTAACATTAAGTACTTCTTAAAGACCAATTACAACACAAGGGCATGGCTTCAATGTATCGCTGATTACAATCTCAAATAAACTTAGCTAATCAAAATAAAACCAAGATTAGATTTTTATACTTCCACATCGCAACAATTGCGAAAAAATCGTTAACGCCGAAATGTTATACTATAGGGATATGGTGACGTGTCCTGTAACCTAGCACTCAAAATGTTTCCAGAAACTTCTAATGAATTTTTCCAAAGAAAAACTAATGATTCGAACGAGTTTCATTGCAGTTCTATAAAAAAGTCAATTCATCAAACTTTCTCTGTTACTAGTAATTTTTTTTCCATTCGCTATTCGGAAATTCGCCATCAACTATCAGGAAGAAAACAATCATTTCTAACCACTGAACTAAAACAAAATTACTAGAAATATCAAACTATACTTCCATAGATAGAATTAGTACCTCCATTCGGGAGGATATAGAATTCGCCGTGAAGAAATTGTGGCTCGGAAGTGGGTATCTTCTTTTTAGTTGAACTTTTTATTCAGCTCGGGTTAGTATTAGGGTCGGGTGAGTTCGAAAAACCTGTAGATACAGGTATGTCTTTCTAATAGGTTAGATGTTTTAATTTCGACCAATAAAAATTTGGCACGTGGAATTTAAATAATAATTATTTTTAATTCAGCATTGACCTAACGGTCAAAGGGCATAAGTGAACTAAAAAAGTGGATGGAGGGGTATTTTTATCCCAATAGGTAGAATGAAGGATATTTTTAAACCTTTTCCAATAGTTTAGGGGTATTTTTAACCCTTTTCCTTTTCTTATATTTAAAAATAATTCAGCTTTAAACTTTTTATTTGCCTTTATTATCATGATTTTATAGCCAAAAAAATGCATGACTTATTCAAAACCATAATCAACTGAAACGAAAAGAAGTACCAAAGTTAACTCTAATTTTTATTTCTTTTCGGAGTTGGGGCGGGGCGGGAGTTGGGGGGCGGGGGTGGGTACATATATAGGAG